GAAAACCACTTCCTTTTTATTGTTCCTAAGGAAGTTAGCTCTGGTTTTAGTACACTTAGACATGTCCTGGCAATGTTTTTGTATCACAACACAATTCAAAGTTCATTTAGAACATATTCAACAGGAATTAACTACCCAATGATATAAATCAAAGAAATAACCATGTATCCAATAAAAGCACAGTTTTTTCTTTAGATCTCTAAGCAAGGGGCTACAGACATCTTGAACGTTTTCTCTGTAAGTATACCATATTTCTTCGATTTATATCATAGGAAACATTTTGCTTCTTACGTCTTTGCGATTGATGTGCTTTAGTACCTTGGTATGAAAGATTTCTTCTTTCTGTATCATCCTTCATCTTATTAATAATATCACGGTAGAAAGCCCAATCTTTGCTTCCTTCTTTAATAGCTTCTTGTCCAAATGGATTCATTTGGATAAATTTTTGAATATTTTCAGTTTTTACTAGCTTCTCCAAATACAGCCTCGGATCATCACTATCACCTGTAATTAACATCAAAGTACCAAAACATATAATGATGTATATAACTATAAATCAAACATATAAGAAAGAATTACTTATAACATATTTTATTTTATTTTACATAACGATGTATCTTTCTCGGGATGATAATCCTATGTGTTTGGGAATATCTTTGTATGTGGCTGTAAAATAAGATAATTCATTCAGAATAGCATTGTTTTGTATAAAGATGGATGATTTTGGAGATAAACTTATTGGATTAAGAAACGCTTTGTTAGGAGAATCTTCTAGCAAAACTGTATTACTCGCACTGTAATCACTCTTCTTCGACGGAAGATTAGACTTACGGTTTTCCCAGATCAGGAATAAATCCTTGAAAACCACTTCCTTTTTATTGTTTTAAATGTAGTTAGCTCCGATTTTAGTACACTCAGACATGTCCTGCCAATATTTTTGTATCACAATACAATTCAAAGTTCAGTTAGAACATATTTGACTGGAATTAACTACCCAAAGATATAAATTAAAGAAATAACTACGTTCCCAACAAAAGGACAGTTTTTTTCTTTAGATCTCCAAGCAACTGGCAACAGACATCTTGAACATTTTCTCTGTAAGTAAACCTTATTTCTTCGATATAAAGATTTATATCGTAGGAAACATTTTGCTTCTTACGTCTTTGCGATTGACGTGCTTTAGTACCTTGGTATGAAGGACTTCTTCTTTCTGTATCATCCTTCATCTTATTAATAATATCACGGTAGAAAGCCCAATCCTTACTTCCTTCTTTAATAGCTTCTTGTCTAAATGGTTTCTTTTGGATAAATTCTTGAACATTCTTAGCTTCAACTAGCTTCTTCAAATACAGCCTCAGATCACCACCATCACCTGTTATTAACATCAAAGTACCAAAACATATAATAATGTATATAACTATTAATCAAACATATAACAAAGAATAACTCATAACATCTTTTTTTGTTTAACCTAATGATGTATCTTTCTCGTGTTTATAATCCTATGTGTCACGGAATATCGCTATATGTGGCTGTAAAATCAGATAATTCATTCAGAATAGCATTGTTTTTGTATAAAAATGGATGATTTTGTAGATAATGTTACTGGATTAAGAAACACATTGTAAGGAGAATCATCTAGGAAAACTGTGTTACTCTCACGGTTATCACTCTTCTTCCATGGAAGATTAGACTTATACGGTTTTCCCAGATCAGGTTTAGATCCTTGAAAACCACTTCCTTTTTTATTGTTTTCAAGGAAGTTAGCTCAGGTTTTAGTACACTCAGACATGTCCTGCCAATTTTTCTTGTATCACAACACAATTCAAAGTTCATTTAGAACATATTTGACAGGAATTAACTACTAAAGGATATAAGTCGAACAAATAACCACATACCCAATAAAAGCACAGTTTTTTCTTTAGATCTCCAAGCAAGTGGCTACAGACATCTTGAACGTTTTCTCTGTAAGTAAACCATATTTCTTTGATTTATATCGTAGGAAACATTTTGCTTCTAACATCTTTGCGATTGACGTGCTTTAGTACCTTGGTATGAAGGATTATTTTTTTATGTATCTTCTTTCATCTTAATAATAATATCACGGTAGAAAGCCCAATCTTTTCTTTCTTCTATAATATCTTTTTGTCCAAATGGATTCTTTTGGATAAAGTCTTGAACATTCTCAGCTTCAACTAGATTCTCCAAATACAGCCTCAGATCACCACGATCACCTGTTATTAATATCAAAGTATCAAAACATATAATGATGTATATTACTATTAATCAAACATATAAGAAAGAATTACTGATAACATCCTTTTTTTATTTTACCTAACGATGTATCTTTCTCGTTATATTTATCGTATGTGTCAGGGAATATCTTATGTATGTGGCTGTAAAATCAGATAGTTCATTTAGCATAACATTGTTTTTGTATAAAGATGATGATTTTGCAGCTAAACTTACTGGATTAAGAAACCCTTTGTAATGAGAATCATCTAGAAAAACCATGTTACTCTCACTGTTATCACCCTTCTTCTACGGAATATTAAACTTACGGTTTTCCCAGATCAGGTTTAGATCCTTGAAAACCACTTCCTTTTTATTTATTTTCAAGGCAGTTAGCTCCGGTTTTAGTACACTCAGACATGTCCTTGAAGCAAGAGTTTTTGAGTCTCTTGTTAGCAAAATATTCCTAATCCCCAAATCAGTTGTAGTATAGGGACGTAGGTGTCAAACACACTTGTGGAGATTAAGATGCAAACAATGCTGTAAGCTAAGCGAGATTGGGGATTTTTTATTATGGCATAGTAACTCTAACAACCTAGAAATGTAATAAAGAGAGGACAAAAATGAAATGCAAATAAATAAAGATTAAGCAATGAAACTAAAGCAAGTACTAAACAAGAACTAATCAAGAACCAAATAAAAGACAACTTAAGCAATACTAAGCAAGATGAAGACTGAATTTAAACTAGCAAAGATAACTAAGCAAAGCGGTTCAAAGACAACTAATAAAAAGCAAGATCTAAGGTTCTAAGCAATAATGGGATTAGTGGCTTTCAAGAATGACAAAGGGGATTTCAAGGAAAGGCATACGTCAAGCAATCATAAGCAAGCAATTCTCAATATTCTAATCCTAGACAAGGTATCTAAAAGGAATCAACTTGGCGTCGATAAGCAATTCATATTCAATAAGATTGAAGTGTCAAACCCACGTTTGATGGTGTATTCTTCAACCATGAGCATAAAGAACATAATCATTCTAATCTAAAAGAAGTACTAAACAAGTAAACATCTCTCACCCAAGCAAGAATTCAGATCAACCTATCAATCTTGTGAACTATATAGGGACATATACAATTAATCAACCAATTAAGAATATGGACTTAAGCTCACAGTTGTGAAATCCTAACAGTGCTAAGCAATGAATAGGAATCAAACAAAGGCATGATCTTTCAATGCACACTATCTAACCATCAAGCATGAATCTCATAACCAACACTATCTAGCCCTAAGCGAATCATCAAGCAAGGTGAACTATCACTTTGGTGTCACTGAATAAAGGAAACATAGACCAAGCTAGACTATCAAACAAAATAAGCGAACAATGCATAAAAATGAGATATCAAGCCATAACGTGAACCACATGCATCAACAATACCATATTCAATCAAAATAGATTAGCTTTATGAACAATAATCACTTTGCAAGATAAAGAAACAACAGAGAGTAAACTAATCAAGCCTAATTACCCTTTAATTATATTTTAATCACTATTTTTCCTACTTAGAACCATAAATCTAAGATAAATTACTCACTAGTCATATTTAATCTGATTTGATTAGAGTTAAGTATGATTAGATGAGATTAAAATGCAAATATAAGGAAACTAAACTACCAGAGTGCTAAATCAAAGATCAGAAAACAAAATTAAACCATAAAAAAATGTAAATTTTATTAAAGAAAAATTACCGAGCCAATCTTTTTAAATGCATATTATTTTCTACTCAAACTTTTACTACATGGTTTGATAATTTTCTTAATGGACTTTAACCAGCTGATGTAATTGATTAACACAAAGATCCACAGGTTTGAAATTGTTGTATATATAAAATTATGAAATTTAGACCATTGACCAGTCTCCTAGTCTCTTTGACATTAAATGTGTTTTAAAACTCATAAATATGAAAATTAATAGAACTAATATAAAACTTCGGGAAAAAGATTTTATGGTGATTTGAAATGCCATACATCAAGTCTTTTGAATCTCTAAAGTGGCGCACCAGGGTGTCGATCTCTCAAAGACTCATTAACAATAATAACGAACCAGATAGGTTTTTGTGGCAGAGTTTGATTTGGCTCCGATTTGGAAGCGATGCGATTTGATGAAACTACGAATGGAGATACAATTTAATTGGGATTTTGTATTTTACCAGAAAACATGAATTTGTATTTTTGAGAAAAAAAACCCCGTGATGTATATTTTGTTTTTGGCGGAAACTCAGATTTTATACTATTAGCGGGAAAATGTGATTTTGTTTTTTTTTTTTTTAAACAACATTTTTTTGTTTTTTTGGTGAGAAAATAGATAATCCAAGATTTTGGCAGAATACTAAATTTTTATATTTTCTTTAGAAAATAAGTTTTTTACGCTATTAGTAGGAAAATCATTTTATATTTTCATAAAAAAACATGAAATCACCTTTTTTTTACGTGAAATGTGATGGTATATTATAATTTGTAATAATAAAATATAATTACTAAATATAAGTAATTGTAAAAAATGAAATAGCTATCGCACTAATCACTACAGTACAATACTATTTGAGCAGAAAAGGATCATGGCGAGACTGATAAATCTTATGAGAAACATTTATTGACGTGGTGAAGAAGAAAGACAAGAAGTCAAACTTCTTTTGGTTTATTGGCCTCTCTGCCTTTTGTCTTTAAATCAAAGCTACTATAATACTTTGTTTCATACGTAACTTATGGTAGTTATTATCAGATTTTAAAACATCTTTACTCACAAACAGCAATCTATCTAGTTTTCCATGCACGATTCTTGTATGTACCAAACATAATTTAATCACGTTCCAAGATTTTTTCTTATTTTTTTCTTATCAAAATTGCACATGACCACATAACTAAAGTGAGTTATCTCACTCATGCCCAAATTCTAGAGAATTGTATAGGCTTACATAGCTAATATATTGCAATGTGGGCAATGGAGAGAGATTAGTCTTCACTCCTCTATGATTCTTCCTTTTAATTATAAACTATGATTCTTCCTTTGAAAACTCGGGATCAGCTGGTTTGTGAGGTACCACATGTGGAGAGCTAGAACAATCCCCTCCATTTTTCTGTCGATTTCGCAATGCTCTGGACAAAAATCTTGACACGTAGAGAGTTGCTCCAAGATTCAGTTGTTGGCCATGTGCAATTTGCTGATGTTCAGTTTCAGTGTGTAAGATCTTAGAAAGCTTCCTTTTGCAATGTTCCCTCCATGCTGCCTGTATGAAGCATGCCGCCCATGATCGCCAATTTGGTGAATAGAACCTGAAAAATGGAATTTGAGCCTCAAAGAAAAAAGTATAAAAACCTCAACTGCTATAATGTTTTGAAACCTTACTTGAACATTTGTTTGAGTCTGCTGCTATGAAAACGGTTGAAATGAGAAGCTACAAATTTGAGATCATCAGGCAGGTGAATGAACCCCTCAACATTGGTCACGGTCAATATTGTTCTGTTTGAAGTGGGGAGGCCAGAAGAATGATGCTGATGAAGAAGCCAAAAGAGAAGATCTCCACATATGTCACCTGCTTTGAGGTCAGATGAATCATAGTAACCACTTATTTCCCTAGAAGATGCGGTCATACTTTTCAGCTCGCCTCTTGTTACAATAAGCATTTCGCCAATCGGCTCACCCTCTCGCACTATGTAGCTATTCGCTGAGTAAAATACAGGCTTCACTCGGTCGCACAATACTTCTAGTAGCCAGGGATCATCCATGATGTTGAGCCAAAAAACCTAACACAAAATGCTATAAGTTAGCAACTATATCCTTGTGAACCCTAGACATACAAAGAAGCTTACACTGTTTAACATAGAAAGGTAGAGATGGCGTTTGGTCTCAAGTCTTAGGTCACTAGGAAGGTTGCGAAGAAAAGCTTCCTCTTCAATGCCTCTGGTTTCTCGCCATTTGTAATTCTCGTATCTCCTTATGCGTTCCTTTAGGTACTCTGGTAGCATCCGATTCGACATCCATTTCTCTGTGTCTCTCTTTTTCTCCTCCATTTCATCTAATCTAATAGTAGTTGATTGCAAGTACTTCTGTAATTTCCAACAAATTTTTTTATTTTATTTTAAGAATCAGTTTTAAGAGATCAAAATATGTTTAGGCATTACCTGAACGTTCCCAATGAGCACAGAAAACAAGAGTAGACCAGAGACGCATATGATGATAGCAAAAACGATATCCCCTACAGAGTTACTAGTCTCCAGGTTTTGGCCTAAAGCACTGTATTTGTTAAAGAGTGGGTTAAGCTATTGATCTTCTAAGAGCAGAGAGTTAAAATGTACTAACATGAGGGGATAGTCCGGGGGTAAAAGCCCGGATCACTCCCTAGTTATCAACATAAAAAATAAAATATACAAACCTAAGATTTCGGAGACCCCACCAAAAGCAGTAGAAGAATTTCCTTGGAAAATCCCTTGGCTTTACCTCAACGATCCCTGACTTCAATGCATCAATGTACATACCAAAGTTGAAGACTGTGGAGTTTGTTATTTGGTCAGGCTCAATTAATGGGCATGAAGTATTCAGATAACGACTGTTGTCTCCGCCACCTCGTGCACAATACTGATTCACTAGATTGCATCCGGGTGTCCTAGCACAAGCTTCACGCCAACATTTGTTTTTCTTTTCTATTGCACTCAAGTACCAGAAAGCCCCAAACACCTGGCCAGAACTGTCTTTTATCACGTTCAAGTGAAGCAATCGAATATGGTTCAAGATTAAAATATAAAATTATTTAACAAACTTTCAATTAGATGTATATGAATTAGGGCCTACTTTTTTTCAAATGTCATTTAATCAAATTATATATGCCCTTAATAGAAAATTTAAACAGAGCCAACAAATACTTTGATCCGTCCCTGCACCTGGCCATCATAACAGTTGGAACAATTCTTGCCACTATATAACAAAGTGGGAGCAAAAAAGACTTACATAACTGTGCAACATGTAGAGGAAAAGGTTGAAAGCAGCACCGATCCACTTTGTTTCTGCTACTGTACCAGAGGCTCTTGTCACTTCTATGAAAAGCGGATAGATACGAATGATTTTTGGTACATATTGAGAAAGTATAATCCATTTCAGTATTTCCTTTGACACCAGTGAGTCAGACCTTTGCATGAGAGTGAGTACCACAACCTACAAGGTTTTGCATTGCACATCTCTAATGCCACATGTCAAAAGTATACATAATATTAAACCTGATGATTGTGATAATAGCTAGATCTTTTCTCCCACTTCCTTACAAAACCCACCAAATTCACAATTAACTTTTTCAAATCATAAGACAGTTTATATAGATAAAGACTAAATACCATAACATATCTAATTTAAACCATGGCTATTTGAAAGTAACCATAATAACTATATTACACTTAGTTGTAATTAGTTATAAACATTTATGCCTCTTAAAAAACCACTACAAGAAAACATGTTATTTTCCGACAATAATGTCCTGACGAAATCTATCCTCCGAAATTTTCTGACCGACGACTTTCCGAGAAAACTAAACATTGTCGAACAACATGTCCGTTAACTGCGTCTATCATATTATATATATCAACCTCATAAGATCGTCAAAAGAAGGGAACACACCTTGGGAATGGGGAGAACAGAAAGAATGTCAACGACGAAGTGAAACCAGAGATTTCTTTTCCTTATGGCCTTAGAATGTAGGATGAGCTCGCCTCTTAAAGAAACTTGAGGATGAGGAGAAATGAGCTCGGTAATAAAATTAATAATGATGTGAATGATCACATATAAAGTGTCAATAAAGGAACTGACTATAGAAACTGCTGCTCCAAGCTTCTTGTCGAAAGTGATGCAGAATCTAGGAGAATCAATCACAGGGACAAAGAGAAATAAAGGGTCAATACCCAAAGCAGCCACGCAAACTAAGAGAACTGTTTTCCTCCTGTTTTCAAGGGTTTTCATCTTCCTGTATACTCTCTTTAAGCTTTCTCTAACATTCTTGAAATTCCCATTTACATATTGCATGTTTGAAGATCTCTCCATTTTGCAATTATCAAGCCTGCATCAATAAGATATAGCATCTCTCCATTTTTGTTTTTAATTGAATGTCAAGTTTTATCTAAACAAAAGAAGAACTTTTTACATCATTAAATTGTGAATGGTATATAATCAGTGGAATCACGTTTTTTAACATAAAAACGTTTTTTTTTTTGTTCAACATAAAAACGTTAATGGCATATGCTACAACAACTATTCCTCGGAAAAAAAGAAACTAGTGAAATTTAGAGAAGCCACCTCACAAAATTACTCCTCTGGTGGTTCATATATGTATGTACAAGAATATGAAGTCCAGTCGATCGTCTCTACCAAAAATATTCGATTCCATCGAAACAAGAGCTAATTAGAAACCAACAAAAAAAGTTGATAATACAGTATATATATGCTAATCTGCAATCAGTATTTAACTTTCAGAAGAAAGTTGGAAGAAAGAAAATCCTAAGAGAGACTCAAACTCTCGATTAATTTCGATCAAAGAGAGAGAAAACAAACCTTGCAGTCAGAAATTGTGGGAAAATCGATGATCGTTCAAAACTTTTCCCCAGTTTCTTGTTCGAAGATTTGTCAAAGCAGCAGGTTGTAGAATTTTAAACGTCTCTTACAAAAATAAGAAAGTCAACTCTACGGTGGGAACTAAATTTGAGTCATTCGAAACGATTGTTACCAGTCAGATCTGACTTGACAACGGCTTAGGGGAAATTTTGATTGGTTGGTTTCTGATTCATTCAGGTACCTATTCGGGTTCGGATCGGGTCTTTTCGGATATTGGTTACTTCGGTTTTAGACAATGAGCCCTATTCGGGTATTTTTAATTTTTCGGTCGGGTTCGGTTTGGTTCTTGTCGGGTTCGGGTCAGTTTCGGGTACCCAATTTCTCTGAAATTTATTTAAAATTTTTTATATAAAATTAGATTTTAAAAATATATTGATATATTTGGTTAAGTTTTGCTAAAAATATTGAATTTTGATATATATAACTTAAATAATTTGGATATTTTGATTATTTTAATCTAAATATAAAGAATATATTCGATTCATAATTATGATTTTGAGAAATTTGGTTATATTATATCTAAATATAACTAATATTTATATATATATCATTATATTTCGTATATTTCGGATATCTGTTCGGTTCTCGGTTCGGTTCGGGTACTGTACCGGTTCTTCGGATATAAAGGTAAAGACTCCATTCGGATATTTACATCATTTCGGTTCGGTTCGGTACCATAAAATTCGGGTCGGGTTCGGATGGATTTTTCGGATCCGATTTTTATGCCCAGGCCTAGTCTATAAACTTATTAAATTTAATATAATTACAGTAATACCATATTTTTAAATCGTTTGTTTGTGAAGCAAAGAGAGAAACAGAGAGTTACTTCCAACCCAAGCTCGAGAGACAACAAAAAAATAAACAAAAAAAAAAATAAACAGAGCAGCCGGTAAGGATGATAACAAATTGATTACGGTTTTGGTACGGCAAATTTTGTTTTGGTTTGATTTTTAGTTCGGTTTTAAATTAAGCATATTGTTTATAAATAAAAATTAATTTTAGAAAATTTTACTGTAATTAACAATATTATTTCTTTGAATAATTTAATTTTATGCAGTTTAAATTAATCTGACTAGACTTAGTTCCAGTTCTATTCGGTTGCCATTAGGTTTTACAAATAGTTAATTAGTTGTATATCAATGTTTTTGAAAAAAGTTATTATATTTTAACAAGAGTATTTCTAACCTACTCCATTTTTTATATTTTAAATATCGTTTTAGAGTAAATTTCTCTCTAACCTTATTCCATTTGGTATTCTAAAATGGAGTAAAAAATGAAATTTCTCTATACTTGCAAAAAACTTATAATATACTCTATTTTAGAATTAATTTTTGAAAAGTTATTCTAAAATGATCTAGAATGATAAAATAATGTAAAACATATACTCTATTGAGAGAAAATTATGAAAATAACTTATTTTTAAGATTTTTATAAATATTAGCGCTATCCTTCTAACTATTGTTATTTGTAGACTAATGGCAGACTAACGGCAGATCGAATACAGAACTACTAGCAGACTGATTGGTCAAATAATTGAATGTAGACTACTAACATACTAATATTAGACTAATTGTAAATTAGTGACAGACTAATAGCAGGTTAAAAGTAAACTAGTGAACCTTTTTAAGAAATGGTCATGTTTCAACCAGTGGCGGATGCAGCTTGAAGGAGTATGAGGCATGTGCCCACACAGATTTTAATTTTTTTAAACCAATTTTTTATGAAATATTGTAGCTCAGTTAATTCTCTTGTTTAATTGATTGTGCCACATACCAAAATGCAGCCTAGATCCGCCACTGGTTTCAACCAACCAGAAAACAAAGCGGTGGGCATCATGGACTGATTCTAGATATCTCTTCTAAAGAAAATATAAAGATTTGTGGGGAAAAATATATAGTTGTTTTATTATTAGCCGGAGCTCGAAAAGTACAAGAGAATTAGATCGTCAGAAAAGAACGTCGACCTAAGTTTTGAGAGTAAGAACCGAGATATAAAGCTTAAAAGCAGTAAGCTATTGTTTGCCCTAGGTCTCGAGTCCGAAGTGAATGAATGATCTTCGAGAGAGGGAACTCTTCTTATATAATCACCATAGGCCGCCCTGAGTCGAATCCTTCTCCTTCGGGATAAAGATAATTTCCTTTCTTCTCGGGGCTCTATTTTCTTTTCTTCCGCAATTCGAATATATCCCCAGATATTTCTATTTTCAGCACCGACCTAACTCCAGAGACGGATCTAGGGTTTCAAATGGGCCTTTTCTCAATTTCCAAAGGGCTTTTAGCAAGGGGTGCTAAAACCATCACTAACAATTAGTCCCCCCCCTCCAGTTCGATGATCTGGAGTAGCAGGTTAGGAGAACATAAGAAAAAGATAGCTCGGTATAAATTGAGATTGGGGCATTTCAAAGCACGGGGTGCCCGAAAGCTACTTAATTAACACGAACTTCTGGTCGGTATGATTCAAGGTCGGGACTTGAACAGTGTAAATTAGATTGGGTTTCGACCGCGTGTGATAGGTCGGGAATCGAACCGCGTACAATAGGTCGGGCTTTATTATAGGTCGGGTTCGTCAGCCGCCTTTGTCGAGCCAAAATAGTCTCTTCGTTTCCTGGGAATTAACGCGTGTCAGCCCCTTTGAATATATTTAAGCACGGGAAATACGAACCGTCGCAATGATTACGCGTTTCTCGAAAACCGTTTTCAGTTTGGTATAAAAGGGGGATGAGGGCCTTTATTTCTTCACTTTTCTTCTCGCGAAAATCGTCAAATCAGGTTCGCTCTCCCTTCTCTCTTCTTTTTCTCTCTAGATTTAATTTTCTTAGTCTGATAGTCTTAGGGTAGATCGGGTCGTCTGTGGAAGCCCGTACAGCCAGTAGAAGCCCGTGCTATCAGTTATTCAGGTCGGGACCGAATAAGTTAGCGAAGATGAGTCCTTGCAAGTCATCTAAAGGAAAGGCAGTGATTTCCTCGCCGGTCGAATCGGCAGGCATTGTTAGCTCAGGATCGGATAAGTCTGGCCGAATGTTCGCGCACGCGATGAACATAAACTATGAAGACATGATTAGAGACCAACAGAGGCAAGCGGCGTTGCGATTGGAGGAGGGTCAACTAGGAACCGTAGCTCGGGGCGACGCCAGGCCATCGGCGGTATGAGTTTCAATTGAGGTATCCGAGCTGAGAGATGAATCAGACAAAGCCGAGAGTGCCGTCAATGTGTCGGATCGGGGCGACGGAGATGAGGTCGGGAGCGCATCGAGACGAGGCCGAGATAAAGGACGAGCCTATTAGCCTTGGCACTTTAGAGGAGTCGTGGGAGGACGGGATTCTAGACAAATACACCCCAGCTTCGTTCAAGTTTTTTAGGCTGTCCAAGAAGAATGCTCCGAGCTCCGGTAACACCTTCGGCATAATCCCGTCCCGTACTACATGGAAGTGGTAGAATCTGCTGAAGGAAGTGTGTAGGATCGGCCTGAGATCAAATTCGTGGTCCCGAGTCCCGAGCAACGACCTTGGGATGCACCATCGGGCTACATATGCTTGTTTGAGCATTTCTTCCTCTATGCTCATCTTTGGTTCCCACTGCCCCGGGTTCTTCTGGAATACTGCACAAGGAGAGGGATGCCGATCTCGCAGACTACGCATGCCTGCATCCGTTATGTGGTCAGCTTGACGGTCCTCACTTAGGAGCACGGGCTGCCATTCACGACTGACATCTTTGAGGAGATGACAGATATCAAACCCCAAGGGGGGAATACTCAGAACCGGGGTTTGTTTTATGTAAGCATGAAGAGGGGAATGAAAATAGTCACCGAGAAATCATCGAAGAAAGTTGACAATTGGCGGGACTTGTACTTCTTTGTGAAGATTGACGGGAACACCGTAGTTGATACAGACGTCCCGATCTTGACTAAATGAGCCGATGTGATCGATAGCTAGCCGATCTTTAGCTGTAGAACGTATGTACTTTCAATCCCTTGCTAACTTTAGTTTGTTTTATTTGCAGCAACGCCGGCAACCCCGATAAAGCCTCCAGCGAAAGGTTTCTTTGAGAACAGGAACAACTTTTGGAGACTAAGCCACGATACTTGGCCGCAGTTTACCATCGAAAGAGTTTCAACAGCAGCAGGTATTTCAACAAATTGCATCCCGATCTCTGAGTAGCATTCCCAAGCTAACATTCTCTGTTTCTATTAGGCCTTCTTCGTCGAAAATCAAAGAGAATGCCGAGTAAGCCAAGGAAAACGAGGGACTTCGCCAAAGAACTCGAGGAGTCCTTGCTGGCTGCGAGTGGAAGGGATGTCGAGCAGAGGTCGGGTGAGACCCTTGTCTCGGATGCAAACAATCCCAAGGTCAACTCGACACGGGTTGATGCTCCTGCAGAGGGGGGTCCCGGACTCAGGAGTGGAAAAAGACGCCGCCGGTCCCGTTCTTCTAGAGGTTTGGAAGGAAATCCTGGATGCGACCGCTGTCAAAATGACATTGAAGCGGAAAATGGCCAAAAAGAAGAAAGCGAAGGCTGCCAAGGAAACGGCCCATGCCAAAGAAGAGCCACGTGCTGAGTTCACCCCGGATGTTCCTCCTGCGATCGAGGATCCCGAGGCTGGGATAACAGACAAGGACGCTGTGCTTCTCGAACAGGTTGCCAGGAAGGCCGATGCTCAACCTTCTAAAAGGCATAAGGCTCGCGACGCTCAATCTAGCCTGAGCAAGTACGCCTTCAAGTTCAAATACCAGGGCAAGGAGCCGATTCATATGAACGAGGCATCCAGTGCCCGGCTGTCGTGGGAGATGAAGGATCTCCCCTCCCGTCCTGCAAGATGGACGACCTGATTTACAAGGATGTTCGGGTAAGGTTTCCCATTGTCGTACTCGAGTTAGCCCGTGATTCTGTTAATTACTTAGCGTTTCAATAATGAATCTTGTCATTTGTCTAAGGCTGAGAACCTCGTTACTGCGACAGTCGAACGTTACAATCGTGCCCTGAAAAAGAGCCTTGCAAATGAGAAGTAGCTAGCCGACGCTGTGGAGGCTAAGGAGAACCAATTGGTTGCGATGAGGGCTGAGGTTGACACCTGCGACATGCTCCTGAAGCTTAAGGAAGAAACCATCCAGTCTCTCACCGCTGATTTGGCCTTGGTGCTAAGGAAGTTCGAGGCTGAGAAGGAGCTTCTTATCAAAACCCGGGATGATTGGGCGGAT